TGGTGAAAGGTTACACAGATGAACTGTTGATGAACTTGGATTGATTACTTTCAGTTTCCTGATAAGTGATAATATGGAAATATCCAAAGCGGTTTGGATTGGCTGCCCTCTACCCCAACTCTCTGACATTGTTAACCATGTTTCATTCTATGCAATTTTGTTTAACCAATTGTAATAAGAAGTCACAATACGATCATCAACAAGAGCTTGAGGATCTTTGATGCTGAACTGCTTTGCACCTTTGTTCAGAGCACCCAGTGGTGTGGTTGACTTCAGACAGCCAAAATAAATTACACTTATGTCATTTTGCTATTTGTTGTATTCGTTTCTGGCGCATCAACTCTTTGGAAAACCCTATGAGTTACATTTTGCCCAGGACATTTATTTTTCAGTTGCTTTACATAATTGATATAGTGCAGAACTGGGGCATCAGATTTTTTCCAAAGCCCAGAACAGATGAGATGTGTTTTGTCTCCCCTGCACACCTGTGTGATGAGCCAGTTCAGGTTAGATGTTGACGTGGTGGTGACGCAAAGAGAAGCCAGCTCCCTACTTTTCAGCCGTCTGTACTGTCTGATCTAGATCAGAATGTCTGAAGATGGATTAAAAATTTCCAGTGAATAAGAAACTTAGAAGTAAATCAGGAGTTTTGAAAATGCAAATGTTTGAATATGAAAATGATTTATTTTTGGACAACGTCTTTGGATTTCTTTAATTTTCTTTAGTTGAACTTGAACAAACCCTTAACTCAAAGTGTGCCATATAACTCCACAAAAAAGTGAGGTTTTGAGATGAGGTGTGTCTTTTTTTCAGTTATCAAACTTGTTTTTTCTCTGGGTGGATGAAAAAAACAAGCCAAATATCATAGAATTGCATTGTAGGAGGTACCCTGGTGGTTTGCCTTTCTGGTATGCAAGTGAAACTGGGAAACAAATGCCATATATAAGTGATAATGCATGGCTAGCTATGCATTAAATGATTTTAATGCATGACATGGAGGCCAAGAAATGCCTCCGCTAAGTGCATCAAAATTGTTTAAAGTGCCCATATTATGCCTTTTCGAATATTACCTTTCATGCAGTGTGTCATGTAGCTGTATGTGAACATAAACTATCTGCAAAGTTGTGAAGCCAACAGTGCACGATTATCAAAAAAAAAGAGTCTGCTCGCAATCGCCTAAACAAGTCGTCAGGAATTCGAATCTTATTCTGTTACGGCTCTACATCACGAAGTAGCCCACGTTCTATGTCGCCAACTTGCCCGCCCACAAACAGTAACATTTCCGTGTGGTTAACATCATGTCAAGAAGACGCTGTATCCTTCGCTGTGAGAGTAAATTTGTTTTATCACAACTTATAATTACCACAAACTTGTTAACACTTACCACTGAGAAACGTCCTGCTCCAGTCGTGCATGTGAATCAGTCTCTTGTCGATCAGCCACTTCAACCGTTTCATCATCAGACTCCGGCTCGAATTGGTAAGGTACAATCGATACCATCTTTTCTATGTATTGACAAGTCTCCAGAGCTGTCATTCCGTCATGGCAATGGGTGTTTCGTTTCCGACCAATCCAGAGCCAATCTCTTTACGGCTCTGGTGGGCGTTTCGTTTCCGACACGCGCTGTACGTGGTAGACCAATCCAAAGCCAATCTCGCTACGGCTCTGGACCAATCACAAAGAACTGCGCCATCTGACCAATCACAGCAGTGAGGGCTCACAGAAAGGAGGGGTTTAGAGAGACTGATTCTTGTTTACGAATCATTTAGAAATGAGGTCAAATTAAATCAATTTTTTAGAAAACTAACGTGTTTTCTGACCTTGCATGCATGTAAACCTGTTTTAGGAGACTCATAAAACAATATTAGCAACCTTAAAAATGACATAATAGGGGCACTTTAATGCACAGCTAGCCATGCATTATCCCACTTATACCATGGTCATTTGCCAGCACTGACAAGTTAAAGCTGTTAATGATGTTTGCAGCGCAATATTTGACCTGAAGGGTAAAATGACGGTTATTTTCATCAGTTATGGCTCATTAGTGCTAGCATTCTGACCGCTTCAAATCAGACACAGAGATGGAATAGTGCGGTAAGATCACATTTATTTGAATGAATTATAGAATTTATTTGAATGAATTATCGATCGATTGAGAGAGAGAGAGAGAGAGAGAGAGAGATGAAAGTTGTGTGAGTCTGCATCTGCGCATCTCTCTAAACAAGCTGTACAATTTTACCACCTCGTTGCTGAGGAATATAATGTAGCGATCTAGCATCTAGGCTATTTTATTAATAAAAGTCGAGGGGCATACTTATAAATGTAAAATATACAGTCATGGCTAAAAGTTTTGGCAGTGACATGAAAGTTTGCTGCTTAAGCTGTTGTGGTGTTCATTCACATTGTTTCTAGATTATTGTCTAGAGTGATCAGATGCATTTTAAATAATTGCTAAAAGCTTCATTGGCCAAAAAATGAACTTTTCACAAAAAAACAAAAACAAATTTCACTGTTTTTTGATCCTAACACAAAATGACCAACTAACATTAATTAACTAATCATATCAGCAGCAAATGTGAAAGTGTGAATGAGTACTTGTCAGGTGAAATCCCTATCATACTAATTAGATTGTAAGAGCAGACTGATTGCTATTTTCCGACTGTTTGGGACATCTGGAAAGTCGATTGTTCGGTAAAGAAAAGGTGAACGCTACCATGAGTCCTTTGACGTGCCAACAGTGAAGCATCCTGAGACCATCCATGTGTGGGGTTGCTTTTCAACCGAGTACGATCCATGAGCAATTTGGTGATGATTGATGAACCGTGCATTTTCCAGCAAGAGTGATAAAGAAGTGGCTCGAAGATCATTACATTGAAATTTTGGGTCCGTGGCCAGGCAACTCCCCGGATCTCAATCCCATAGAGAACCTCTGGTCAGTCCTCAAAAGGCGAGTGGACAAGCAGAAGAACACAAATTGTGATCAACTCCGAGAACTAATAAGGCAAGAATAGATCGGCATCAGTCAGGATTTGGCCCAGAAGCTAATATCCAGCATGCCAGAGCGAATTGCAGAGGTTATGAAGAACAAGGGTCAGCACTGTAAATATTGACTCATTATATATTTTTTGCCAATAAAAGCCTTTAAAACGTATGATATGCTTATCATTGTTTTTCAGTATACCATAGAAACATGTGGAAAAATAATCTACAAATACTGAAGCCGCAAACTTTCCAAAACACAAAATTTATGTCACTGCCAAAACTTTTGGCCATATTCATAAATAATTGTATTATTATTATTATTTTTTTTTACTTTTCTCAAATAATATGCAAGGCACTAGTCATAATACCACATCAGGTTTATTTGCAATAATGATTGGCATATACATTATACGGTTTGTAACAAAACTGCTTAGCAAATGCATCATAAATTATTACAAGTCATATGCGACCTGAAACTTGCACAGTGTAGTAGGAGCTGCCAGAAACAGAGGTCAAATATACAGTATTTGGCAACAGAATGACATAATTGACCAATCAGAATGAAGTTTTCTGATAAGCAAAGAATTAATACAAAATAAAATAGCTATATATTGCAAAGCTGTGTCTGCTTTCCCACAGCAACAGCTAGCAGCAGCCATCATTGTCTCCTCTCCACCAGTAAGCTGGTGTGTGGTAGGCGTTCTGGCGCACTATGGCTGCCGTCGCATCATCCAGGTGGATGCTGCACACTGGTGGTGGATGAGGAGATACCCCCTGACAATGTAAAGCGCTTTGAGTGCCTAGAAAAGCGCTATATAAATGTAATGAATTAATCTAAAACACCCTAGCAATACCAATAACATTATGCTAAAATTGCTACAAATGATGTTGAAATTACATAGCAATGCCCTTGCAACCATCTACAGCACCTCTGCATTGTGGCGGCATGTGTTGCATGTTCAAGCACCACAAAAATGTAAGGGGGTCTGAATACTTTCCGTACCCACTGTACTCCAGGTTCCAATTCCCTGTTCCAGATATGATCAAAAACACAGGTAGTAATGTATTCCCCAGATAAGCAAATGAAGAATGATATCTAGTACTTACTTCATTTTTCTAACTGAGTATTTGATAATGTCTTAACTCCACATCTGTGTTAAGATGTGGAGCCTTAAGATTTGCTGTTAAAGACCCGGTCGCTTTGACCTCTTAGAAACTATTCCATTAAAATGTGCTGCATTCTCTAGTTTTAGTTGTCTGCCAGGGGTATTTGTGTTCATAAGGACTGATATTGTCACATTACAATGTTTACACTAGTAAACGCTAATTGACGAAACTCTCTTGGCCCTGTGCATACAATGCTTTCTTTGTCATCAAAAAAAAATGGGCCAGGAAAGATGGTTTTGGACGCCAAAAAGACCAGAAGGAATGCATGAGGAGTAATTGTGCCAGTTAGGAAACCTGGAATTGTGATCACGTTTAACAATTTTTTTTTATGTTCAGGATTGTCCTGATATGCCCCATACTACCATTCATGTTGTTTTGAAAATGTAATAAATAAATAAAAAACAGTGCTGAAATTGCACATTTCAGTTAATGCTCTGTCTTTTTTTTAATCTATAAATTTTAGGATCTGGTGAAGGATGTGGCAAGATCATTCAGCGCTTCCCCAAAAAGGACTGGGATGGCACGGCATTTCCCCAGGGTGTGGAGATGGTAAGGAGTCGTTTTTGTTCTGTTTTCTGAAAACTGAAACCCAAAAGTAAACCCAAGTCATTTATTCATAAAAAGCTGCCTTCTGGAAGTAGCTGAATGAAAAAAAAAAACTATATATTCTACATCTTTGTTTGTGTTTTTTTTTACTTTTCTGTTTTCCTCAAAGTTCCTGAAATTTGTGAATACATCTGCCCACATCCTCGGAAACTCGTGTGGTTCTGATATCAGCCTTTCCTTTAGTCAACAAATGCATAATCATTGTTTACTTAAAGGTTTATCCCAGTCGCCTCCATTTGCTCTAATTGGAGAATTCCAAGCCCATGTCCTGTCCATTTCTTAAATGGCGTACAGAAATGCTTTGCTGTGCTTCTGTCCGATCTATCGCGCTACACACTCTGGCCCAATTAACAGACATAAACCAACTTAACTCTGGACCAAATATTTGCTTATCTGAGCTGAAGAAGAAAATGTTGTTAATCTCCTTAGTGGCAGTGGCTTTAAAGTTGTCCTGGTTCTTGAGTTAAGAAGCTACAAATGTTCAGCTTAAGCTGTTGGGTTGTGGCCTGGTTGACTGTTTACTTGTTTATCAAGACGTAATGCGTAAAGCTTGACCTTTGCATGAAATCGTAGGACTAAAGATTCAACTGTAATATAAAATACACATCTTCTGATGAGCTTGCTTTTAATTTCTGAATAAAGATTCATTTTGATATTTTCAAATTTTGAGACACTGATGTCTCAAAAAGGTGATGTAGCCGTCCTCATAATGAAGAAGAGCAATTCGATTTTTGAAGAGAAAAACATAAGTAGTGTGACAAAATCTTTCATTATTATTTTAAACAAAAAAGTCATATGTTGCAACCAATGAATAATGTGATAGAATACAGAGAACCCCTGAAGAATCTCAAGACTGTGTGTCAAGTTCAGCAAGTCTCTTAAAATATCAGATAGTTTGTCCTTTTCATGACATGGTTGTAAAATGTCATGTGGCACTACTTCCCAGAATGATATGATTTATAATTCATAATTCTTTCAAAAACATTTTGAATAAGATGCGGACACTCACATGTGTTCAAGGTGCAGGGAAAATATGTTATTACCTTTTAATCGACGGTTACACTACGTGACATTTTTTTAGTCATTAAAAACCCTTTATGAACCAACATGAATACAAAGAGGACATTTCTGAGAACTTGGCACATGCGTTTTGGCACGTCGTAGACACTCTTATTTGTCATTGAGCCAAACACAGGCTGGTCTCCCTCTGCTTTCTTGCTTTATTAGTCATTTAAGTGTAAGTGAACCAAAGAAATATTCTTGGTTACACAATATCCTTGGATAACGACTGTATTTATGATACGTGGCTTCGTATTTGCTTGTAGAAAAAGTCTATATCAGATCAGTGAAGGACATTGGCTATTTTAATGTGAGAAGAGGCTCATTGTTCACGGCGAGGACTGAATTTGAGTCAGTCATTTACTCATTTTGGCTGTTTACACTCATCTGCTGAGATATGGCCGCGAGCACCGTCTCCCACTGATTCTGAATCTGCAGAGACTGTAATCTAGACAGTCATCTAGAAATCGGCTAACGAAACGCAGGTTCACTATCTTCCAGCAGGTGGTTGAGTCTCTGGTCAGCCTACAGGTTACACAATCTGGGTCAGTCCCGGGCTCAGATGTTGTTTTTATCATTATGAATTCTTACTGATTTATGTTTGTGATTCTAAGGGGACATGATCTTTTCCCCACTCCAGGAATGATGGTTGTTTCGTCTGTCAGAGACAGTAGAATTGGATTGTTCTCCATTTCCGTGGTTTGAGCAGTCACATTATTTGGTGTAATACAATGAAGGTCCTTTTCCTCAAGAAATGCTTGTATATCTGAAGGCTTATATTGAGAAGCACTGGAAACATTCCATAGGGGTTTTATTCAATACAGACTCAATGGCTTCATACAGTTCCTGCAAGTATAGGGAATGTCCTTCAGCAGTCGTAAAGTGTTTATTTTGAGTATCAGTGTTCTTTGTGTCAACTGGGGCAGCTTGTCATTCACTGGATTTTTCTGTTTATTTGATGCACCATTTTTTTGTAGAGATTGTTGTAGATGTTGAAACCACCAAGTCTGGCACCAGTGATCATGGTCAAAGGGTCAGAGTTACATTTCAAATTGAAATCACAACCTTAAAAAAGCTATTTTTAAATTTGCTTTTAAAAGTCACATTGTCCCTCATTAGTTACATTTACGTTCCTGGTTTATCAGTTTATCTCATTGCTAGACTCTAACAGGGATATTGGTTGGTTCTTTGGTCAACTATAGGATAGATTGTAGGGCTTGGTTGGCAATATTGATTAAACATTTTGATTAACCAAAATCCCAAGATAGATCTTTCAGTCTGTGCTGTTTTCAGCTGATGTGTGTTTCAACTTATACAGTAACTGCGTGACGTCCACCTGCGAATGCACACACGATGGCTGAATTGCGTTTACATTACACTGAGATCCGATCACAATGCGTCCTCGACTACCTCTGGACCAGGACATGCTGATCGGATAACATTCCGATTAGAAGCGCGTTTACACTTGTCTTTTCAATGTGTATGTGGACAACATCCGGATACAGGTCGCATGTTAATGCCAAGTGTAAACGCAGCCTAAGTGAACTAGATGTGAATAGCCAGGTTTGAGTACCAATTTCCATTAGTTAAGCAGTACTATTATTGTTATACATATTAAACATATTTTGCACATCTTTAGCTCTTGCACATGTTGTTATTTTTATAGTTTGCATTGTAGTGAATTATTCACAATGAAAGGTTATTAGTGGTTTTATGTAAGATTAATTACGGTGCTGTTTTTCCATCTTGTGTGTTGTTTTTGAGTAAGCGCTCTAGAACAACATTCATCAAACACATTCACATCTCTTTGAACACTGCGGGGACAGCATAGTCCATAGGGTGGGCGATTTATCGTATAAAAATAGACCAGAGCTGTATGTATGTAATTTCTTGTTAGTCATTGGGTGTGCCAGTACTCCCAGCGGGCTGCAGAATCGAACCAGAAGAGTGTTTTGCTGGGTTTCAGGAAACATGCCTTGACTTAATCTACACAGCATCATCTCCGAAGCATTCAGCAACATGTGGAGGACCCCCTCAGCATAGTTTCAGCTCTGTCAGTTTACTCAAACATATCAGTATGTGCACATGTTTCTACTGATCTCCCTGCCCAATGTGGTTCTTATGCTCTGACCCGACCTTGCGTAATTTTTGGCTCGTTCATGTGGTCTAAGATTCTTTTACGGTACTCACGTACACTTTTATCTAGTCTTTAGATGCATACATGCAGTTGCCATTAAGCATCTGTAACTGTTAATAGCAGAGCACACAAATATGTTGACCGTAATTCTTTATAGCTTTACAAATTCTCATCTTATTTTGGAGCATTTCCGTCAAATTGCATGGAGGATCCGTTTGGTCTATTTGTGTAGGTTTTATGCTCAGCCGTTTATTTTGGACTGATTGTTAAATAATGAAAATAACAAACTCATAAAAGCGCATTGCTGGGGTTAAGTGTCCCCAACATCCCCAGCACACGAAAATGAAATGGCTTCAGTCCCATCTTTGTAGTTTTATTGAATATTGTTTTTAATATACCAGCCGGGCAATTTGGATTTTCGTCTTGGTATGCAAATTGTTATTATTTGCAGATTTCTACAGATTTTCTGTTTTTAGTTTTTAGGAACAGCAGAAATTCTTTCTTTACCACAACAACCCCCAGCAAACTAAATAGCCACAGATGAGGAATGTTCCAAGTATAAAAGGATAGAAAAACACCCCATCGTGTTTACAGCTCTCGTTCCAAAGGTGTTTTCAATCTTGGAGGAAGTTCGCCAGCTATTCTCCTTGCGTGCTGTTTTTAACCCTGCCTCACATGAAGGTTCAGCTCGCTTCATGCATATTCACTCGTTGCTTACTGCTTAGATCACACTGGAAAGACAGTAAAGAACAGTTTGAGGGGACATTAAACAGCTTGTCTAAAGATGGTCCACAAGAGTCAGGCAACCCATAAATAACAATGACTGGCTGGGTTAGTTATAGGTCTCACACAGTTAAGACACAGATTTTCTCTGATTGCCTCAAAGAGATTAAGAAATTAATTAGGACCCACAAAGAGTGTAACTGGGTTGAAAACATGATGGGTTAATCAGTAATATATGTACACTAAAAGTTAAAGGGAAAAGTCCTCGACCCGGGATTTGAATTCGGGTCAGCTCAGCATCGGCGCCGACCCAATTGACACAGTTTTTGTCAAAATTTAGTGTCTTCATAAATCCACTTAAATTGAACTTTAGGTTAGTTGGCTAAGAGTCATACATTTGAAAAAGTTTT